AACTGAAGAAGCTCTTTGAAAAGGTTAGCGTTTGGGCGGCATTTTAGCTTTCTCTGCTATAACTATACAGTGCCTCTGGCCACGCCTCATTGCTGCGCGGAGTGTATGCACATGGTGAATGCACATAACCTGAAGCTCTTGTGATCTCACTAGCCCGGATGTAATTTTTTTCAGTCCCCATAATTCATTCCCAGTGCTCTGTACAAGCCAATGTCTTCCTTTGCATTGAACTTTGAGTGTTATATTCAGAGATGTTGTTTATGTTCACACAGCTTCATTACACGTTTAAAATATGATATCGAAGTGGACAACCCCTTTAAAACTAACCTAACAGAGCCCAAACTTTTGAACAGTTGCTTCACTTTCACAATTTTGGTCAGGCCACGACTGAGAGCATTTTTCTTCCCCACGGCATGAAATATTAATGTAAAAGCAGTGAGTAAAATAGGTCCTTTGTAGTGTTTTCAAGGAGAGGCCTTTGTATGGCAGCATTTTGTACTGCCATCATGATTCACATCAGACTAGTGAATAACTTATCAGTGAAAACATCTGCAAGCCTCTGCAAAGACCCCAAAACTGTCATCTCTAGCCACTCTTTTATCTGCCTTATTTCTGTCAGCCTTCATCCTCTATTACTCCATTATCACCGTCTGTTTGTCAGATATTTCTTTTAGATTCTGAACAGTGATTGAGATGCTCTTTCTACTGCTCATTTGAATCAGAAAAATGCATAACTCATTGTTTGTTTGATATGTGGGAACATTAATAATCAGGTACAGTTACAGTTTTTTACAATTGCTATGACACTTTTATCAATACATTTAACAAGTTTCCTAAACTCTTAACACAGTTAGCACAACATCTGTCTTCGTGGGCTATACAATTAACACATTTCTTGTTGTTTTGACACAAAATGCATCCAGTTAACACAAATTTAAAATGCTTTAACTTCTTTTACACACAAGCACAACCAAGAACAAAACAATGTAATTTTACAGTCAAATTTACAAATGCTTTAACACAGTATGTCAGAACAGATAACACCATGTTCTAAACAGAAATTATATAGGATAAAGTCAAAAGGAACAGCTGATCTAATTGTGAATTGAAACACAAGTTTATTCCCTGTATTTTATTAAATTGCCAATGAGAAACAGCATATTGCGGTTATATAAATAAATAAATAAATGTGTGTGTGTGTATATATTTATATATATATATATATATATATATATATATATATGACAGCTGATTCCCATCTAGAAAGCACACTCATGTCTTGTTTTGGTTTTTCCAATCACATGATCATATGTTCTCATAGAGGACTCTTGAGGTTTTTGAAAGGAACATCAAAGAACTCTGTCACCAATACATCCATGTAAGATTATGCAATACAGTCCTTACTGTACTATACACAGTGTGTTTTGCAGTAAACTACTCTTTAAACCTGGAGTTCATTAGTACATACAGTACATATACAGCATTTGCATACACTGTGTCTAATTACTTTCAGAGAGTCATGAAGAGGCCAATCAAGTACCACATGAAATTTTCAATGTTGACAAGGCTGGGGATGTCGCCGTAGGAAAAACATAATAGGCCAAAGGGCCACAGTTACCGTGTCGGGCCACAGAAGATATCAAGTATAATGTGGATGAGAACATGTGGCAAAAGACCGGGCAGTATAGAAGATTACTTTGTTATTTTATTATAATTGTGGTGCTTTTCCTGTTTGCAGTGATGTCCTTCTGCAAAAAAAGTCTGTACTGCAGAAATTCAGTGTCTGTATTTTTTTTACATAAACTGTAAATTTTATAAAGCAATTTTTTTTCTTCGTTTTGTATAGAATTTTTGCCGTAAACGAAAGAAAATGCATGCATTTACTTAACCCAACGAAACAAAACTGTAACGAGACTTCAAATATAAGGGCAGAGCTGACACATAAACTAATGCAGTTTCTGTAATGTCAGCTGATGATAGTGTTTTTATTGTCAGTGTTTTCTGACTGACTGAATGTTTATGTTGGAAGAGAACATGTGTTTGTGTTTTGAACAATAATTTCATTTTGAAACATGATTGCAGTGTTTTGTTAGACTTGGTGTAGTGTGTTCGTTTATTATAGTATTTTGAAAAGTAGTTTAGAGGTTTAGTTTATAATGTGTGATTTTGAGCATAAAATTAACTGTTTTGCCAATTGTGTATTTTAGGTGTGTTGCTGCGTTAAGAGTTTAGCAAACTTGTTAAATGTATTGAAAAAAGTGTCATAGCCATTGTAAAAAACTGTAATGTAAAATCTAAATTGAACCTGTTTTCTTGCTCAATGCACATTCTGTGAAAGATTTATTAGTGAAAAAAGCAATTGTTTGGCTTTATCATCTTTAACCTAAATTAACCTCAGCTTTAACGTAAATTAGAAATGCTCTTACTCTCAAACAACTTTTCCTGTTGGACTTAATTTAGTAATAACGATATACATATGATTATTGTTTAATTTTGAGTAGTTTTTTTTTATTATTCTATATTTAAATTGTTTAGTTGGTTTGTTTTAAGATTTAGTTTGTTTACTTTTTATCACTTTTCAGATTTTAAAGTTTTAATTACTTTTTTGTTTTGTATTTATTTTTTAGTTCATTTTGCACTTCAATTTCAACTAAACTAAAATGACAAATGTTGCATTGAAGACTTTAGATAGTTGAACACACTCACCGGCCACTTTATAAGTTACACCATACTAGTACAAAGTGGTTACACGGTTAATTCTTCGTGGTTTAGATTCAACAATGTATTGGAGATATTCTTCAGAGATTTTGGTCCATATTGACATGATAGCATCACACAGTTGCTGCAGATTTGTCAGCTGCACATCCATGATGCGAATCTCCCATTCCACCACATCCCAAAGGTGCTTTATTGGATTGAGTTCTGGTGACTGTGTGGCCATTTGAGTACAGTGAACTCATTGACATGTTCAAGAGACCAGTCTGAGATGATTTGTGCTTCATGACATGAGGTGTTATGCTGTTGGAAGTAGCCTTTAGAAGATGGGTACACTGTGGTCATAAAGGGATGGACATGCAAGAATACCCAGGCTGTGACGTTGACATGATGCTCAATTAGTACTAATGGGCCTAAAGTGTGCCAAGAAAACATCCCCCACACCATTACACCACCACCAGCAGCCTGAACTGTTGATGCAAGGCAGGATGGATCCATACATTTATGTTGTTGATGCCAAATTCTGACCCTACCATCTGAATGTCGCAGCAGAAATCGAGACTCATCAGACCAGGCAATGTTTTTCCAATCTTCTAGTGTCTAATTTTGGTGAGCCTGTGCCAATTGTAGCCTCAGTTTCCTGTTCTTGGCTGACAGGAGCGGCACCTAGTGTGGTCTTCTGCTGATGTAGCTCATCCGCCTCAAGGTTCAATATGTTGTGCGTTCAGAGATGCTTATCTGCAAACCTCGATTGTAACAAGTTTTGAGTTTCTGTTACATTTCGATCAGCTCAAACCAATCTGGCTATTCTTCTATGACCTCTGGCATCAACAGGGTATTTGCGCCCACAGAACTGCCGCTCACTGGATATTTTCTTTTTTTCGCCCATTCTCTGTAAACCCTAGAGATGATTGTGCATGAAAATCCCAGTAGATCAACAGTTTCTGAAATACTTAGACCAGCCTATCTGGCACCAACAACCATGCCACATTCAAATTCACTTAAATCACCTTTCTTCCCCATTCTGATGCTCAGTTTGAACTGCAGCTGAGCATCATGACCATGTCTACATGCCTAAATGCATTGAGTTGCTGCTGTGTGAGTGAGCTGATAAAAATTTGTGTTAACAAGTATTTGGACAGCTGTACCATTTGGCCAGTGAGTGTATATTTCATGTACAATGTTTTGTGTTTTATTTCAAAAATATATTTTAGTTTTTTAGAGAGTGCTTATAAAACAATTTACCAGATTTATTTTATATTTTATTTTATTTTATTTATCGTTGGGGGAAAAAATAGGGGAAAAAGGTTTGCGTTTTTTAGTTCAATAGAACATTTTAATGTGGACATGTCATTGGCCCATAAACATTTCCTGCTTTTTATCAAACTAATTCATAACTGTAGTAAGAGGCAATTCAATCATAACTTAATGTTATGTGTAGTGTAGTCACAAAATAGTAATGGTGGACAGCAGGATCATGTGTGCACAGGTGCTTAGTGTTTCTATCTAAAAAGTGTTTCTTCTAAAAGTGACATCGCCATCTACTGGCCTGGCATACAGAATACGGCATTTCATTTTCCTGAATCTGTATATACAGGGATTATTTTTAAAACATAGTTGTCAGTCAAACAGCTCACATTGAGTCTCAATTCATGTAGGTAACACCCACTTTTTTACCACACAAATAACTGTTGTTGTTTTTTTCCTCATTGAAAATCATGTCTCACTTAAATCTTTTAAATTACACAAGTGAAATGCTCTGCTAAAAACAATCAACGCTGACATGAAACATCAGCATGTGCTTTAGGTGTGATATGCCAAGTTTACTAGCAAGCAATCGACTCAAATTTGAGTACAGCTTGAATCATTTCCATATCCAGAAAGTGCTAAAAAGCTGTGTTGCGAGTTTTGCTGCTTCTAGTAGGAGTTTGAGGAGTCTTTGGGGTTGTTAGAACTAGCTTGTGTTTAGATGTCTGTTGATGTATTGAGCTAATGCTAATCGTTGCTGTTTTACTGCCTGAAGGGCTGCAGCTGTAGCGCAGCAGGAATATGAGGACGCACTGCCATCAAGTGGAGGCTCAAACACTACAGTGGAGGATTGTGCCTCTGTTTACAGTTTCTGTAGAATGAGAGTAATTGCCCTCTAATTGAAGACATTTATACCCGTTTTCTTTGTCGACACTGTTTCTACAAGATTAATTAGTGTTTTTCATCAGCCTGCTAAATCAATGTGAAATGTGTGAGAATGAAAGTGTTTTTTACAGTTGTTCTTCTTCTTTCTCCAGTGTGACGGCTGTCAGGCTGCCTGATGGCCTTTCCTTTGTGGTGTATGAGTTCTGGGATGGAGAGGAGGAGTGGAAGAGGTAAAATATTTTTTTTCTGTGTGTCTTTCAGTGTTTGGTATGTTCAATGGGATTTTTGTCTCTCAACTCTCTCTCATCAACTTGATTACCATGATCGTAGTTATTTTGAGACAAAAATAAGTTGGTATGTGTTCCTAACATGTTTGTTTTTCTTTTTTCTGTTGAGCACAAAGAAAGATATATTGAGGAATATTAGGAAAAAACACCCAATGACTTCCATAGTAATGTTTATTCCTAGTATGTATGTCAGGGTTTATTTTTCCAACATTCTTTAGAATATCTTGCTTTGTGTTCAACAAAAAAGATTCATAAAAGTTTAGAATAACCTGAGTGAGAGTCAAAGTTAATTTTTTGTGAGCGATCTCTTTAACTCTTAGGGCCCTATCATACACCCGGTGCAATAAGGCGCAAGATGTGTTTGGCACGATATGTTGCTATTTTCAGACCAGCTAAATAGCAATTTTCACGTTTTGCGCCATGTTGTTTAAATAGCAAATCAATTTGCGCCACTTTGTGGACTCATGGGTGTGCTGGTCTATAAAACAGGTGTGTTAAGGCACATTGTTAGTGTGTTGCTATTTTGAAGAACTGAAAAAGACTGTGCCATTGACCAACTAAAAGCTTGTCTAAAGTCCAGCATAGAGCGTGTTAATTATGCGCCTATGCAGGTCTAAACGATTACACATTGTTTAATACACACAGGATGTACAGCAATACACAAATATCTTTACATATAAAATACATTAAGGATTTAATTGTTACAAAAATTATTATTTTTTACATAAATATTAAAACCACTGCCTTCTGCACCCCAGGGGAGGATTTTTCAGTTTATCCATGACAATTTGCATTCTTGTTATAATGTTATTATGATTAGCATTATTATTTATTATATGCATTTTTATATTTGTTTTAATAAAAACAAGTTTAGATTTGTCCACCTGTTGGGTTTTGGAGACGTACGCGTCACTATTTGAGGCATAAGAATAGGAAGTGTGTTTGGATATGACCTTGACCACACTTCGTTATTATTGTTCATTTATAAGCTTGCTGGAAATTAAAACTGAATTCACAAATAGTGTTGAAACAAAATGTTGCTCTTAAATTAAATATGTAGGCTAATGGTATAGGCTCAGTGGAGTGCATTTAACACTGTTTCCTTACTTTATGAAAGTAAAGGAGTAAACTAGATTCATGTAAAATAAAAAGGCAGAATGGAGGAGGCTCAGTCTTTATCCTTGTGCTACAGACGCTCTGTTTAACTGTTTTTTGGCTAATGAAGCATTCAGTTTTTCCTTTTACATATTTCGCCATGTAAATAGCAAATGCACCATGGCGTGACGCAACTGACTCTTGAAGGGAATGGGAGATGAGACTCTGATTGGTTTAATGCACATTATGCTCAAAACACACCGATAACTCATTAAGAGAATAAGCACAACACTGTTAGACCATGCACCAAGTGCAGAGCGAATTTTTCTATCCATTAAATATCCTTTAAAAGTGCATTCAGACACGCGCTTAATGCTTTTGCACCATGCGCTTTAGATTTTGTGCCTAGATCATTAAAATGGAGCTCTTAAAGTCCATGTGACCCAGAATTTGTTAAGACTTTTATTTATGTATGTTGATGTACTTCCAACTGAAACTGGATATTAAGTAGAGGGTGAAGTTTTCTTATTGCACATCATCCCCTTGTAGAAACCCCTTGTAGGGGTGTGATTAAAAAAATATCAAACTGACATCAACAGAGAACCGTCACTCCTAATGTGGAAGCAACATGTCAGATTTTGAATGAAGATTAACAAAACTAAACTAAACTAAACTAAACTAAAAATCTGTGAATTAACTTGCAAAATGATTGACTACAGTAATTTTGCAATTATTAGAGTAGACTATTAGAGTAGACTTTCTGCTAGCACTTTATTTTGATACTCCTTCAAAACATTAAATACAAGTAACTTTGCAAGTACAGTCCAGGGCAAGTAAAGTTATAGTTTACTATAATTATTGATATTTGTGATTAACATATTCAATTTCATCTCATTAGGCCACTTTTTTGTCAAGACTTTCCCTTAAATTTTATCATGCTTTACATTATTTTTAAGACCATCTTTGTGATATTATGTTATGGAATGAACAAACACATTAACATAGTTTACTACTTTTTAAGTATGAAGCTTAAGACATTTTATTTAAAAAAAAAAAAAAGGTCATGTTATTGTTGAAAATTGCATCTTAAAACCAGAAGTAAATGGGGCGCTAGTTGACTAGAAGATACAAAGTCAACAGAATTTATAAATGGTATAGTTCTGTTCAGAATCTATTTAGCTGCAAAGTCACATGTACAGTATTTTATTGATGCGGCTTTGCATCTGAAGACTGATTATAATGCTGGAACTGTGTTGCTTGATTTCCCTCTCAGGCATCTTCTGACTGCAGCCTGCAAGGCGTTCCAGCATGTGAAAGTGGATACTCTGTGTCAGCCTGAGGCGGTGTCCACTGTCGCTGTGCCCGGTGTGTTCTTCTGTCTGCTATAGAGGCTGCTGTGGGCATTAGAGCCAAACCAGTCTTTGATGCTGCTTGTTTTGCATGTATTGTGTAGTCTAGAGGAGGGATGTCCTTACATTTCACAGCTATTATGAATTCCTACTTGCCCTGCAGGATTACTCTCATTTTCAGCATGTCTGTCCTCTGACAGTCTCTGCATTAGGAGCTTCTGTAATGCAAACACTCTCGCGCTCATTCCAGCTCTATTACAAAATAGAAATACTGAAAGAAAGCAAAAAACACTCAAGAGCCTGCATACATTTGAAGTCAGAATTATTAGCCCCACTTTGATTTTTTTCTTTTTCTTTTTTAGATATTTCCCAAATGATGTTTAACAGAGCAAGGAAGTGTTCACAGCATGTCTGATAATATTTTTTCTTCTGGAGAAAGTCTTATTTGTTTTATTTCGGCTAGAATAAAAGTAGTTTTTTTTTTTAAGGTCAAAATTATTAGCCCCTTTAAGCAAACATTTTTTGATAGTCTACAAAACAAACTATCATTATACAATAACTTAAATTACCCGAACCTGACTAGTTAACATAATTAACCTAGTTAAGCCTTTAAATGTCACTTCAAGCTGTATAGAAGTGTCTTGAAAAATATCTAGCCAAATAGTATTTACTATCATGGTGGCAAAGATAAAATAAATCAGTTATTAGAAATTAGTTATTAAAACTATCATGTTTAGAAATGTGTTGAAAAAAAATTGTCTCTCCGTTAAACAGAAATTGGGGAGAAAATAAACAGGGGGGCTAATAATTCTGACTTCAACTGTAGTTGTAAAAAGGACATATATACTTAAATAGGCACACAAATGGTGCTGAGCAGTAATTTGTAATTAAATTGTAGCATATTTGACATTTTATTCTGTCATTTAGACAATGGCAGATAAAAAATTTGTAAGTTACTATTTTTTCCTAATTCTAGATGTCACTTTTTCATTTAAAAATACAAAATATGTTACAATTTGTATGCATTTGGACAGTTATGTACACAATGGCAAACTATTTAGTTGTTTATTGATTTTTACTAATTGTAGATATCTCTTTTTAATTAAAAATACAATAAAATTGGCCTTTTTTTATACAGTGAGAAAGTTATGTACACAGTGCCAGGCTATTTTGTCGTTTACGGATTTAATTTTTTTTCTAGGTGTTTCGATGTTACGTTTTGAATAAAAAAAAAATAGAATAGAAATGCCATAATTTCAGCATTTTAAAAACAAGTTTAATATAATAGATTACAATAAATATTTTTATACAAGTGCATATGCATTTACATTAAATATGCTTATATTAGTTATTTAAAGTAATAATGTTGAAGTTGTGTAGTTTAGAACTGTTATTAAAAACTAAAATTGATATGATCTAAAGACCCTTTTCACAAGACTGTTATGATGTGTTTAACGATCATCATAATCTTAAATCCTTGAATCCTTTTAAATATTTAGATTAAAAAAACGTTTATACATTAATATGCATTTATGAATATTTTATATAATCTTTGTGTCAAATTACAAAAAACTCAGTCTCACGCAATTTTTTCTTTTTTTTGAAAGTCTTGATAACACCATTGTTGAGTTTTTCTTTTATTATTTCAGCTAATAGGACTATAAAAAATATTATTTGTACTCTCACTGCGCTCTACGTTTACCTAACCATGATGCCTTATGGAAATGTGAAAAGGGTCCATTATTAAAACTTATTAAAATTATTTGTTTACATACTGTTATATATAATTAACACTATAGTAATTTATAATGAATTTATTATAAATAGTTGACCTTAACATGTGTGTGTCTGTATAAATCTATGTCTGTGTGTCTATGTGCAAGTGGCTGCCTGTGCTGAGTGTGCTTTTAGTAAGTGCATTGATTCTCTTTCAAATGTTTCATTACACGTTCCAGGGCTAACCAAATCTATCTGTATGTCTCTCTGAATGTGAAGCGATCGGAGCAGCCTACAGTTTACAGTGCTCTGCATAACCGCAAAACCATAAGCTTGTCTAGAATGTGTTTACAGAAATTTGTCAACCGCTATACAAAGAATTATACTGTCTTTCATTACTTTAATAATGACACTGACACTCTCTCTCTCTCTCTCTCTCTCTCTCACTCACTCTCTCTCTCTCTCACTCTCTCTCACTCTTTTACTCTTTCTAGCCGCCTGGTGCAGCCTGAACAGGGACTGAGAAGTGTGCCAGTCTGCGGGTGGGACGTCCCACTTATTGCCTGAAACCCCTCTCTTCTCTCTATCTTTCTGTCACAGTCTCTGCTTTCTTACCTCCTCTTTCTCTCTGCTCCCCCACTCCGTCTCCTCTTTTGTAATTACTTGTTTACACAGTATCCATTTGATATTGAGCCAAAAGTAGTGTCTCCAGACACAGTTCCCTCTTCACATCCACTGCAACATACAGAAACCCACATCAAAACTCCCACCGCATTCGGGAAGCTCACTTTTGCACCTAAAACATCACCTTACATGAACAGTCTCTACTAACCAAAAGAGGCCGATTAATATTTCATCCCAATTCAAGCACGCATCCGCTGCTTTGCAGACAGTTCCCTGCGGTACAACTTCTGAGAAGACAAAAACTGTGCAGCAAAGTATTTCTAAAGCTGTCCATGGACACTAGCATTTCTGTAAAGGCTGTTTAATACTAGGTATAGGTTGGTCTATTAAGTACTTTGGACTGTATCTTCATGAATTGTTTGTGTAACGCACTGAGCCATGTAGAAAGACTGGTGCTTCTGTCAAAACCGTGAGCATGACCAATACTGCCAGTCAAGGGGCCTACATTTACAACACATCCAAATCAACATCCGCTCCAAAAAGCACAATGTTCCTGAACGAGAAATGAAATGCTTGTATAAATGAGATTCGCTGACGAAGAGAACATCATTTTATGTTGATCACTCTTGAGAGGGAATATATAGATGTGGGACGAGTGCTTAAATTAAAAGAGTGGCATTGACTTAAAGGGATAGTTCATCCAAAAATGTATTTTACACTATTTAATCGTCCTGAGTAGTAGATATTTTGAAGAAAGATCCAGTAGATATATACACTAGAAATTGCATATGGCCCCTTTGCATGCGTCAATAGTGCCGCCAAATTTGTACAGTGCTCTCAGGACAAAAGTCATTCAACCGCACTAGTTAAGACCAAAGCCAATCTGATGATGCTGGACTTTTGTGCTGCAAACAGGTTTAGTAACGAACAAAGAAAGAAAACAAAGCATAAAGGCAGAACATTTCATAGATAAGATTTTGTTTTGTATGTTACGAACTTTTGTGCTAAACAAGTGACGTTATTGATGATTATACAGTCACTTACTGCACAGACCATAAGCGCAAAGTAGCACCAACTTACACTATATTCTAGGCGTATAATGAATAAAATCAGCAGACAATTTAAAAGAAATATGACAACCAGATGCTGCGGTGCCAGAAACTTGTAATTTTGTCGGCTAAGTGAAGTAACGGCTAATTTAGTAAGTAACTTATAAGGGTGCCTGATACCATAACAGTGCCTGCACCTCTGTGTCCACCCTAAATTATTGAATATTACAAATGTTATATAGCATTTAGATCATAAAGTTGGATATGCACATTAAGATGCAAGGATATTGATGGTTCACATGAGTCGTTTATAACGGAGATTCATTTTATAGCCCTACATTTGACCCCCCCGAGTCCGACTTATTTATGCCTATAGGACTGGGTTTCAGGCCAATGTTCACGTCATTGCTAGCACGCATATCGGGCTTCAAGCCTGCTTTAGAATTATTATTTATTTATTTTTTTTAAAGTTTAATGAGATCTAATGCATGCGGTCCAGAAGCGCCAGTGATGCCTTGCACATAGAGATTTCCAGCCACGTGCAATGGAGAAAATAAAGAGGTAAAACTTTAAACTGTGAAAAACACTAGAGGGAAGGCAAACTTCTGGACAACTTTTAAATAGTGACAACTTAAAATGAGCCAGCTGGTTTTGCACAAAGCACAACTTCAAGTAAAATTGAGTGAACTCACTGTGGACAACATCCTACTTGGATATCGATCAATTAATTCAGTGGGTGGGGAATCCGCACTTCTACGTCAAGTTGCGGTTAGCCAAAATGGGAGGGTTTGGGTCCTATTTTAACTTCAGGAAATTTAAAAATAGAGAGACTTATTGTCTTTATATCACCCTTTATAATATGACTGTGGACACGCTATACCTACACACAGTTCTGTCCAAACAGCTTACAAAAGATGATTTTCATCTTACAGTAGGTGTCCTATAACTAAATCTAACATTTAAAAAAACAAACAAAAATTATTCTGATAAAAAAAAAAGAAACAAAAAAAAACATCAATTTTCTATCAAATACAAATCTGGTGTATTTTAATGGCTGTAACAGTATGAGCAGGACAAAAAAAAAAAAGAAACAAGCTTCGGGTCAGACTCGGGCCAAAAACTTGATGAACTTAATGAGCTGTTGAACAAGGGCCAGGCTACAGCCTGTGCATCTCAGTCCAGGGCCGGGCTAGGGCTTAGATTTAAGGGCCGGGCTAGGGCTTAAGATTTAGCGCCCGTGCAGGGCTCTAATTCATTCACAAATGAATTGCTCTCTCCATTAGAATTAGAAGTGAAAGCAGGAGAGGGGCTGTTTCAGGACATAGATCAGATCAAATATAAGAGGGAGGGAGATAATACATTTCCACACAAACACATGCTCAATGCCGGCAGTTCACTTATCCGTCAGTGAAGAAAAGTGATTACAATTATTATTTATAATTTATTAATAATTATAATTTTCATAGTGAAAAAAATTGCATACTGACCACCAGGAAAACTCCTGATCTTAGATATATATGTGTGAATGTTTATATATCTATGGCTCTGGATGGCCAGTCTTCCTCTACACCTTGGTCCCACATTCATTTCAAAGGAGCGCTACCCTGTACTAAAATGGCGGCTCTATTGACGCAATTCTTTAAATAGACAACAATAACGTAGGCGACATCAAATGTAAACATCTATGGAAAGATCCTTTAAACATTGGCTTTCATAGTAGAAAAAACAAATATGATGGAAGTCAATGGTTTCCAGCTTTCTTTACAATATCTTTTGTGTTTTCAAACAAGAAAATGATGACAGAGTATTGATTTCGGGGTAAACTCTCCCTTTAATGTTCCATCCGTTTCTTACTTCAGTATAATTAAGCATTTAGCATCAAAGTCATTTCTCAGGTCGAGTGAAAACATCCTCATAGTGGAGGATGTTTCAGAGCGGCTCATATCTTCACATCTGTTGATCAGTAAAGCCAAGACTGTTGTATTTCCCTTTTGGCTCAAAGTGTAAACAACTTGACTCCATACAAAAGCGACTGGGCCCAAACTGCAGCATTTCTTTCTGTTTGCTTTCCCACCAATCCTGCCTTCTGTTTTGGTTTGTTTTTCCCCTCACGGTGAGTGCATGTTACAAATGAATGTCCAGTAAATGATTTGCCGTAGACTTTAGCTATGCTACTTTAAATGGATTTTGTGCATTTCTTATTTTCTTTTGTATTACTCCAGTAACGGAACAAGAAGAAACTATATATATGAAATGAATCAAACTTACTATATGAGCAGTCACTTTTAATGGCATTGTTTGATGAAATACTACTTCTTATACCCATGTATGTTTCCGTATACTGGCTTTCTCTCTTATAAGTGAGTGTAGAGATTTATTGCAGGGATGCAAAGTATTATATTCGTCTTCGATTTGTTAAAATTCTAGATTATGTAGAGTGCTGCTATTCAATAAAGTACTGAAAAAGAGCTGCTGTTGTATTTGTCTTGATTTCATGGTTACAAAACATGATGCTGAACAAAACGCAACTGTGATTGGTTGCTTTCGATCAATGCCGCAGAACATTAAAAAAAGGACAATCTATACTCAGGGTGTCCGCTGGGTCTTAAAGTCTTAAATTTTAAAAATTCACTAAAATATTGTATATTATATTGCATATTAAATATTGTGTTGTACAGGTCTTAAATCATTTTAAACAGGTTTTTATTTTGCTTCCTACAAGTAAAGCTACTTAATCGGACCAACGTTCATCCAATGACCAACAATACATAATAATTAAACCTTTAAATATACAAATGGCCCACTCCCCCACATATATACTAATGTGCCACAAACAGGGCGTTAATATCGCCAACCATTCCCAATTTTATTAAGATGTATACATATAAATGGCCCACACTGTATTTAAATATAATAATATATATTAAGGAGATACAATTGACAACCGCTGTTTAACATTTTTACAGCAAAATCCCTAAATTAAATTCCCTAATCAGGAAAAGAAAACAATTACACAATTCATCATGATATACCGGGCCATTAAAAAAAAACACGACTAAAATTGAACCCTGTACAGTATGTCTAAAATGTCATTCTTAATGGTCTTAAAAGGGTCTTAAAAAGCCTTAAATTTGACGAGGAAACCTGCAGAAACCCTAAACAGTTGGCATATAAAACATTATGGTCACACTTCACAATAAGGTTTCATCAGTTAATGCTTTTATTAACATGAACTAATTATGAACAATATTTGCACAGTATTTATTGATCATAGTTTAACATTTACTAATGCATTATTAACGAAGTCATGCTTGTTACCATTAGTAAAATGAACAAATACTGTAATACAAGTATTATTTGTTCATGTTAGTAAATGCATGAACTAATACAGCCTAATTGTAAAGTGTTACCAACCTTATTTTGATTAAAGGACTAGCCTTGTTCAACCACACACACTGAAAAAAAGATTCAAAGATGATTCCTTGGATTTACTTTGCCCCTTTTGAGGTAGTTGTAAACAATTTATTTGGGCTGAATTTAAACAAACAACTTAAGTTGAAAATTACTAAATTAAATTTGTTTGTTTAAATTCAACTCAGGGTGACGCGGTGGCGCAGTAGGTGGTGCAGTCGCTTCACAGCAAGAAGGTCGCTGGTTCGAGCCTCGGCTGGTTCAGTTAGCGTTTCTGTGTTGAGTTTGCATGTTCTCCCTGTGTTTGTGTGGGTTTCCTTTGGGTGCTCTGGTTTCCCCCGCAGTCCAAAGACATGTGGTACAGGTGAATTGGGTAGGCTAGATTTTCCGTAGTGTATGTGTGTGAACGAGTGTGTGGATGTTTCCCATAGATGGGTTGCGGCTGGAAGGGCATCTGCTGCGTAAAAAAGGTGCCGGATAAGTTGGCAGTTCATTCCCCTGTGGCGACCCCGGATTAATAAAGGGACTAAGCCGAAAAGAAAATAAATGAATGAATGAAATTCAACTAATGAGCTGTTTGCATCAATTTTGCAGAAATCTTTTTTTTTTCTCAGTGTAGTTAAAAGTCCTTGCACTGAATAGTAAGATGGAGATTTAAACTTCAGTTATGAGTTGCATGATGGCAACTGATGTGCTCTGTCCAAAGATGAGGGTGCCACACAAAAGTGTGATCATTCCCCATGTGACCAGAAGATATCTGGAGGGAAACAACACAAAAACACAATGTCATTGTACAATCTATTGAACATGTATGAATTGCAACATCCCATATTGATCTTATTCTGCTATTGACCTCTTCCCTATTTTTGATCTTATTCTTGAGATTGATTTAGAATTGATTTAGAATACTTGCCTATGAGGGAAATGACTTGGATTAATAAACGGCGGAAATGGTCAATCTACTTGCTCTACAAACAAGTGTGTTCATGACTATACATAAAAAGAAGAATATAATAATAAACGTTTGGAACAGGGCGACATGGTGGCTCAGTGGTTAGCACTGTCACCTCACAGCAAGAAGGCCACTGATTCGAGTCCCAGCTGGGTCATTTGT